ATAATAGATTGTTTAAAATGAAGATAACGAACAGTAATGATAACAGGAAATTAGGTCTCCACGACATTGACCTGTAAAATATAAGCAATCGATCCATGAAAAATTGTCCCCAACGAATTCTAATGATTCCACTGTGTACAACTCTTGGGAAAACAAACTGACGAAAAGGACTTTGCAGGTTTTTTGGCCCTCTTAGCGTTCACTTTCTTGTGCCATTCAATCATCGTTCATTCAGCCCTCGTGTGGAAGAAGTAGAACATTTCAGGGACCTTATTAATAGTGAGCAAATATTTGATCAGTAATTAAATATGAAGGTTTTTATTACCAATATTTATATTTAAAACTTAAGGATACCGTGAAAAGATGTATGTGAGACCATATTTAATATACATGTATATAGATATGTGCTTTATCCATGTGAAGCTTTCAAGGGCATTTCTGTTTTTGTAATGTGTGACATGTCATAGCTTTGCAATGGGTGTTCCTATTTATAGAAATGTTTCAGGTCTTAAAATGCTTACAACGGTAATGAAACCTGTGTGCATAATTAATGCATATTTTGGACAGCACTTTTTTTTTCTGACAAAGAATTTCGTTGCAGATGTTTGACCAGACACATATAAATTACGCATTGTTTTTCTAATTTTGAATTTGAAAATAAAAAAGTAAAAACGTCATCAAGATAGTTACAATGGTTTTGCTAGAAGTAATTCAGCATCAGTTTCCAGTATGATTAGTTTTTGATACCATTTTGAATATGTTTGTTGCTGTGAAATTAATTTTAAGCAAACTGAGTGGGATTGGACAGCTGGTACAGCCTATTATAGCCCTCCCCTGATTCTATGAAATATGTTTTATTAAATTATTAAATGTCTTTTAACTAGTACAATGTTTATTAAATGTATCTGCTAAATTTTTCCTTTTCTCTTCTATGGGAAACAAATAGGAAAATAACTTTGAAATCCCTCCCATTTTCTAAAAGAAGGAAACATTCTCCTTTTATTCTACCCAATTTGGTAAGCTTTTTCTTGAGCTTCCTCTATTTCAGATTTATTTTGGATAAAATACAATTAGAGCCAAGGCACTTGACGTTTTAAACCTTTCTCTTTATTGATAAAAATATCCCGTAGTATAATAATAACACGTGCCTTGTTATTATTATAGTATGGGGATATTTTTATCAATAAAGAGAAAGGTTTAAAACGTCAAATGTCTGTGATTAAAGCTTACAATTACAATTACACGTAAGAAATAGTTGAATCCCCACTTTTCAAAAGTTATGTCCTTTGTCCGCCATAACTGGAGAAAAACTAACAGAGTCTAAGTCTTGATCATCAAGATGCTTCGACATTATCGCGAAGCATTTGGATGATCGTGACTAACAGAATCTTCACAGAAGCCTTTGTAATTTTTAGCTCACCTGAGTCGAAGGCTCAAGTGAGCTTTTCTGATCAAAATTTGTCCGTTGTTTGTCGTCGTTGGGCCAATTTCAACCAAACTTGGCACAGAGTATCCTTGGGTAAAGGGGATTCAAGTTTGTTCAAATGAAGGGCCACACCTTCTTCCAAGGGGAGATAATTACAAATTAGTGAAAAATTAATGGCATCTTTTAAAAATCTTCTTCTCAAGAACCACTGGGCCAGGAAAGATGCAACTCATGTGGAATTATCCTCAGGTGGTGTAGATTCAAATTTGTTCAGATCATGACCCCTGGGTGTAGGGTGAGGCCACAATGGACGATCAAAGTTTTACATAGGAATATATAGGAAAAATCTTTAAAAATCTTCTTCTCAAGAACAGCAAAGTCATGATTGGTCATATTTATGTGGAAGCATCCTCAGGTAGTGTAGATTTCAGTTTGTTCAAATCATGACCCCCGGGGGTAGGGTGGGGCCACAATGGACAATCAAAGTTTTACGTACGAGTATATAAGAAAAAAAAATTAAAAATCTTCTTCTCAAGAACAACAAAGCCACGATTGGTCGACCTTGTATGGAAGCATCATCAGGTGGTGTAGATTCAAGTTTGTTCAAATCATGACCCCCGAGGGTAGGGTGGGGCCATAATGAACGATCAAAGTTTAGCATAGGAATATACATGTTTAAAAAAAATCTTCTCAAGAACAGCAAAGCCATGATTGGTTATTAACTATTCGGAAGTATCCTAAGGTAGTGTAGATTCATGTTTGAAAAAAATAGTGATCCCCTTGGGATAGGGTGGGGCCACAATTGATGATTGAAGTTATGCATAGGAATACATAGGAAAATTTTTTGAAAATCTTCTTCTCAAGAACAGCAAAGCTATGATTGGTCATAATTATATGGAAGCATCCTCAGATAGTGTAGATTCAGATTTGTTCATACCATGACCCCCAGGGGTAGGGTGGGACCATAATGAAAGTTCAAACTTGTGGGAAAAAAGTCACAGACAAAGAAATATATAAGCATCTTTAGTTAGTATAGATTCAATTTTGTTCAAATCATACCCCCTTTCCCGGTCCCTTTTTAGGGTTAGGTCGGGACCACTTATGCATTAAAGCTTTTCAATGCTGAACTGATTTTTGCTTTTTTCCTAGCCACAGTGCTCAGGTGAGCGATGTGGCCAATGGGCCTCTTGTTTGGTCTGTAACTTTGCGTCATTTGATTGGAAAAATCTTTCAATCTTGTATATTAATTTATTATTATTGTTTTACGCCGAGTCGGCAATATTTCAGTCATATTTAGGCGGTCCATCTTGATTGTTGCCCCAAGATAGAGCTACCCACACATTGAAAGAAAAAAATTAAACACAATGAATTTATTGCAGCCCGGAGGACCGGGCTGCTCTATACATATAAGTTTAAGTGTTGGTATATGGGGATTGAGGTGGGAGAAGTTATTCAGAATTAAAGGTTTTCTAAACATTAAAAAGATTGTTAATCAGAATGTTCTTTCCCTTTATAAATTACGAGATACACAATAATTTTACTTCCATAAAGTGAATCTGTAAAAATATATATGTTTTTCATATTTAATATATAAAGTTGCTTATCATTTACTATCGAAAAAACGACAGGTCCCTTTTTCTAGAACATCGAATTTTACTTATCGCATAAAAACGTAAAAACGTACTTAACACAGTTCGTGTTTTATAATCTTAAAGTGAAAGACATGTTTGAAAATAGGTGATGCATGTGTTTGGTTTCAAATTATATTTTATGCAGCCAACATTTACTTGAGGAATTGATAAAGTTTAAAAGGGTATCGTTTTTGTTCGATTTTCATCCGACTATAAGTTTTCAAAATAGTCTCTACTATCGTCTCCATCATTTAGACGCATGCCTTTTTCACACATATCGAAGCGGTTTGATGATCAAGACTCATTTCCATTGTTTACTTTATTTATTTCCCGGGCGACAATTGATGGTTACATCAATGTTTTCTTGTTGGAGCATGTTATAATGTTTGGTAGAATAAAGAGGAGAAATATTCCCTTTTGACCTTTTGGCTGACCCTGCAAAGGGACATAACTTTTGCAAAGTGCGGTTGGACTATTACTGTCATCATATTTACTCGTGTTTTTTTCAAATAATTTATCAAAATATTACAATGGGTTAAGGTATGTCACTCGTCAGCCTTTTAGAAAATTTCAGTCAGAACCTCTTACTTAAAAACTATTTATTACAATTCAATTTTTATAACATATTTAAATTAAACAATGTAAAATGTTCAACATTCAATTAAAAAACTGCTCAAAAATTCACAAAGAAGCAAGATTTATAAGGGACTATTTCTTGTGGCGGAAGGATATTTAGCAGAAAATTCTGCAAATCTACACATTTATTAAATTTAATATCTTGGAACTTTAGCCTCACATACTTTTACTCAGAGAATATTTTCCGTTATGATATGCCTGGAATATTAAATATAGGTCTCAATTTATATTTTTATAACAAAATTTACACCTTCGCTCAACAAACATTGCCAAGAAATGAAGATATATCAAGGAAGTCGAGATAAAATTTACACAGTTTTTTGCCTGAAAATCGCATATTTTGACCAATATTTCAAAATTTACATCACTGACCCCAACTTTTTCTTTCATTATTTTAAACTACTCGATACTTTTGACCGATCAGCACTTAAGTCGTAAAAAGTTTGATACAAGAAAATATTCTATTGCCTATTTAGATTTTTAATACCCCAAATATGAGACTTTTTTAGTGCAAAAAGGTCACACAATATTTTACGCGCATTAATTTGCATGATTTGTTCTATGATAAATATTATTCAAACTATTTTACGTAAAATAGGATTTTGTTTATTGCCATGTTTACATCTTATAAAATATGATAACCGTTAAAGTGATTAACCAAAGAGTTACAATTTAAGTGCAAAAAGGTCAACTTAACTGTACCGTAGCTCAGTTAGATGCACACTGAGCCCCCATTTTCTCTGCGATTTTGAGTCATACTATATGAGTACTTATCCAAAATATACTTCTCAAAAAATCCTTGATATAACAAATTTCACGAGTGACATACCTTAAGTAACAGTTTACTTCCTTGAAAACCAGGAGGAGGGGTCAAAACAACCCCTTGAATCCGCCCAACCGCATTGGTTCCGCCCATGAGAGTATCTGCCCAATCGGCAATCCTCGACTGACACCGCTACGCTTTGAAGAGTGTGCTAGGCACGAGCCACACGAAGCAGCTCCGGGTGCAATCGGTTTGGAGTACATTCCGTGTTGTACACTATGCCATTGTTATTGTTTGTCATTCATGAGTGGGTATTAAAAAAGAGTGCGCAATGTTTTGTGAGTATTCTTTAAAACAAAGTTTTGTAGCGTATAATTCTTTTATATTTTCGATGAAAATCATAGTATCTATTGTTTTTAAAGGGAAAATTTTGAATGACACATCATAAAACAGAACTTATAGATTTTTTTTTTACAACAAGTCAGATTAATCCGCCACATTGTTGTATATATACTGCCGCTCTATCGCATGGTGTATGATTACCAAAATGAACGTGACGGGGAAAAGAAAAAATGGACTTGAAAAGTCAAAACTGATGAATGGTGATTTTCCACCAGCAAAACGACTGAAGGGTAACGGACTAAACACATTAGATAAGTAAGTTTTATAATTACAACCTCTCATAACGCTCTTTAAGTTTGATTCTCTCTTGTTACGGATTACACGTGCGAGAGAGACACGATTGAATGAGCAACAGAGACGAGAAGGGGAGTCAAGAGTTCCAGGGAAACCCCCTCTCCCCATGTTTATATACAATTTGTATCTGGAAAATATATATTTTATTTCATAAATACATGATTAAATTTACAGGACCCTTGTAATTTTATTTATAAACAAGAGACTTGAACAAGTAATAGAAACTTCTTTTAAAATCCATGCTGCAATTCAAACCACATTGATTCGTTTTTGTTTTTGTTCTTTTTAAAAATGTTTTGTTAATATCTATGTATTCTGTGACACACTGTCAAAGATTAATTATGTGTTTTTCCAGGTGGTTTTGTCAGTGACACATATGCAAATAAGCCATAGCTCTTTATCTGTAAATAAAAATGTATTGCAGTCTTTGTAGAGATGTGAACCTATTTATACAGAAGAAATAGATTTATATTTACCAATGAAGATGAGAACCTTCATTATTGTTTGTCTATTTCTGCAAGTAATGTCTGTGATATGATATTATACTGACAATTAAACTATTAAGATTTAATTTTCAGGTGACCTGAATCACCTATAATTAATGTATGATCAGCTATATGTGTTGTGTGTTAAGATTTTGAACATTTTAGCTTAATTCTTCTCTGGAAAGGGCTGGTCCAATTTCAACCAAGTTTGGTATATAAAAATTAAAAGAACAAAAATTGTGAAAGTCATGGTCTATGTCCCCCTGGGGCCGGGGGGGGGGGGGGCATCAAATTCATCAAAATTAACACAATCTTCAAAACATTTCTACTTTATCCCTGAACATTAAGCAGTCAAACTGGCCTTATTATAATAAGCAATATGAGCTCTCTACTAAAATTGTGAAATTCTTAGCCTCTAGGTCAGAGGTTCTGGTGTTAGGGCAGGGTTCTATTGATCATATAGTGAAAATTATAGTGCATAAATTCTTTGAAAATCTCCTCTGCTCCTGGTTATTTAGCAGACAAACTAAGTGTTTAAATATGATGAGCATGGGTGCCTCCACTTAAATTGTGAAGATCATGGTCAGAGGTTCTGATGTAAGGGCAGGGATCTTTTGAAAAATATTCCTCTCTCCTCCTGGCTCCTGGGTATTTAGCAGACAAATTAAGTGCTAGGTTATGATAAGCTGATTAATGATGTCACAAGTACTTAAAAATGAATAGGAAATGAGGCCTAAAAAAATATGTTGGTGTACTTTTACATTCTAATAAAAAGAAGGTTGGTGGGTAGAATTTTTTTTTTATTTATTTTACATTTTTTTTGTACATAGAGGCATTTTTTTGTACTATCAAGGCCCCAATGGCTCTAAAATGGCTACTAAAAGTGACCTTACGACCTATAAACTGTTAGGCCATTCCAAGTTATTTCTCTGTTTAGCATCAATCCATATTTCAAAAACGTACCTACCTATTCTCAAAAAACAAACAAGCCCAAAAAATAAAACACGGGTTTTATTGTCCTAAATATGAAACTATTGAAACGATTTGATTTCATATTAACCTTATTTTTCTCATAAAAAGTTCAATTCCTTAGTAAAATGAAAGTATTTAATATTTATAATATACCTCACACTACATATTCTTGACAAATATATAGCACACTACATATTCTAGACAAATATATAGTTAATTTGACAGAATTAAAAGATTTTGACCAGAATGATTAATTTCACGCCTCCAGATCTTGTTTGTTTTTTCTGACATGGGGTGTCAAAAACCAAAGAGCACGCAGAAGCTAAACTTAAAAAAAAACTTGGAATGGCCTTATATTTGAAGGAAAACATACAGACAAATGAAACTGAGGGTTGGTCTGGTAACAAACATTTTTTTCAAGCCTGAAAATGATAAATTTGGTCATTACAATGCCATAGCTCTAGGTAGGAACAGATACTATTAAAATTTTTCATATTAATTTAAATCATGTACAGTAACAGTTAGCTAATCTGGACACCACTGGTTCCATTGAAATATGCTTGATTACACATATTCCAGATTAGATTGATTGATTGTTTGTTGTTTATTGTCCCTTCCAAGATTACTTCACTCATTTGAGACACATTCCACATTAGACAATATTTAAGCAATAAGGAACTAAAATTATTCATTGTAATAGGCAATATTTTGGAATACACAACATCCAGATTAGATAAGTTACCCCAATATAGTGTAATATTAAGGCTAAAAACTGAAAATTGGAGAGAAAAAATAACATTACATTAATTTCATATATTTTGTTCATGAATATGTCAGATGATATTTTCAGACCTTATAAGATATTTGTTGAAAAGTCAGTAGTTAGTATTTCCTTCATTTCTTAAAAAAAAGTGATAAAATTGACATTTTGAAAGACATCAATTCCTCAAGATTTGCCATGTGGAAAATCTGTAAGGGAAGTGTGATATATATTGAACAGATGAAGTATATATATTATAAATGATTCTTAATTTTATTACTTTACCAATAATTGTCAATAAATTCTCAATAAGAATTGAATACACCATTAGTGTATATTTATCATATTAGAATATTGTTATTAATTTCTCCCAGCTAGGATGTGATTAATCAGACATATGATTTGTTTTGACAAACTGAGCATTGAGAAAGACACAGGTTATTTGGTGACCTTTTCCTGAATATTGTAAGGAACTTTATTTTGCTGATTCTGCTTCACCTGAGAGGTCAAAGTAGTTGTATAATGGAAATAGGCCCAGCAATTCATTTTTTAATGGAATATAATTTGAAGAAGAAATGTATTCACTGCATTTCCAGTTTGCAATACCCCCTGAAATTTCCCTGAATAGAAATTTTGTAGATCATAGATAAAATAGTGTCATAAGAAAAGGTTTATTTATGATCTAATATATTTTTTCTCGATTTATTTTTCTCAACATTTTCCTACACAGAAAAGGGGTTAAAAAAAATGAATTGCTATAGGGATGAATATGATTCACTGATACTGAATTTGACTGAGTTCAAATACATGTGCATGTACTATCTGAAGATTTTCTAGTTTTTTTTAAAATTATTTTTTTAGTTGAAACTCCACTTTTGCAGTGATAGTCAAGAAAAGTAATATTTTATTTTTTTAAAGTTGTGAATATGACACTTTGTAGATTTAGAGCACCATTGCTGTAAAAAAAAAGGTAATTCAATTAATGTTTGAATAAAAATTTGTGTACTTAAAAGTAATGAAATGTGGAAAAACATTCAGGAATTTGGGACAGTAATTATATATATCAAATCTGATTGCTTATTCAATAAATTTATGATTTTTCTCATGTCATTCCTTCTTAGAGTACTGAAAGTGGGAAAACCTGTAGTCAAATATATTTATATAAGCACAGCGAAAACCTGGAGAAGCTTGATTTTGAAATTTTTGTATGTAAATATTTGGTCTTTCATCCAGGTAATGTCACCTTGGAGGTGTAGCTCTTTGTTGACAGTTCTTGGCATTCTGATTGGTTAATTCATGCACTAAATATTTGAGAACAAGGTCGAGGACAGGTAAATGTCTGAAGACTGAGAGCTAAATTAAGATAGCATTTTAAATTATTTTATGACTAAGTTTTTAATAGATAATATACAAAGACCAATTAAATTCAAAACACCCAACATTTAAAGAATTGTATAGGTTTTAAAGCATTACATGAAGCCTCTGGCTGAGACAAAGGATGTGATGTTTGGTGATATAATTCATAAACTATCCTGATCCTTTCAAGATGAAACTGCAGATTGAAACTGTATTCTATGTCTGACCTAATTTCATTGGGTAGTATACAATAGTGTTAAGTATAGCCCTTTGTCCTGAAATTTTCCAGACTAGTTCAGATAGTTCAGGAGTTTTTGATTGCAAAATGGAGGTGTGACCCTCTATTGACATTTTCCAGGATTTCTATTGGCTGAACTGCAGAGGTGTGTTTCCACATGTTAGACTATGAAATGTTTTGAACTATTGCATCATGACAATCCCTGACAATGAAGAGCAATAATTTTAAACTAGTTTTTTCTTGCTTAAGATTTGAGTACATGTGTATAATATAATCTAAAACTTTTATGTGCTTGTTGGTTTTGAGGAATGTGTAAGATGTAAGTGGTATGTACAAAAGGAAAGAGTTAAGTCCCAGAATTAATTAATTAGAATGGAATATCATAAAGTGAATGCAATCACCCCATGACATCAGATAAATTTTAATAAAGTTGCCTCAATAGTTTTGTTTTACATTATACATTCCCAATAATATTGAAAACAAACTACAATTAATGCACTATCAGTCAAGTGATAACACTTAGACCTTCCTTTATATCATTATACATTGTATATCTATGAAAAGAGAATTAGTTTTAGAAGTTGGAGAGTACATGTACTCAATCTATAAATCTATTGTGATTTGTTATATGCCCCACCATGAATATGGTCAGGGCATATAGAGATTGTCATGCCCGCCCCTCCTTCCGTCACACTTTAAGTTTAGCTCAGTTTCAAAGAAACTATTCAAAATATTTTTATCAAATTTCATATTATGCTGATACATATTGTATTGCATTGATAAGAGCTATATTCAACTTCAACATTTTTTTACCTTGCCTTCCCCTTGACTTCACTTTTCTTAAATTTGCTTTAGACTTAATTAGTTTCAATGAAACTATTCAAGATATTTTTTTATGTAAGCTTATATGATACTTAATTAATTGAGAATTTATCAACTATGTCTCCATAATTTTTTTACCTTAACCTTCCCAATGACCTTTGACTTAACTATTTATTGTGTTTAAAACTTAGTTTTAAAGAAACTATTTGGGATATTTTCATCAAACTTGATACATTTAGATTACTACAAATTTTTATGTTTCTTTTCCAATGAACCTTGGGTGGGGCATTCATGTCCTTTGGACATATTTCTAGTTCCAGCATAATGCAATTTTGTCTTTTCCCTTCAAGATGAAGAAGTGATTTACCCTGCTCACCCAACAGAATTTAAATTCTTTTCATGACTAATATTCACCCAAGCAAAACTCGCCTGAGCAAAGCTCCCAAAGGTCTGAAGCATGGTGTACTAAATAATAACGCCTACATATTACATTATATATAATAATACAAACGTTATATAACATTGTATAACTATCTCGGTATCTAAAGGATGTTTCCTCTTCCTGTTTTCTACCGATGAATGAATCTGACGTCAAAATTCCGCAAGTGACATTGCAGGTCAAATATTCAAAATGATACAAATACTTGAATCAGGATATATGATCATTGAAAATATATACTATATACAAAAATTACTCATTTGAACAATTCCAGTTTAACTTTCCTTTTTCTTAGAACTCTGTCATTACTGATCAAAGTGCACTGTTAGCTATAGGGTAGTTGTCCTGTTAGTAGACCACTCAGGTGTGACATAATATGTTGATGTTTGAACTGGACAAAGATTAAGCCAGGTTGGCTTTTCATGAATAGGTTAAATGTAGCATTGGCACTGTGTGAAGCTTTTAAAAATGTGTAATCATTAAGGCCTTTTGAATGAGAAGGTTAAGAGGCTTAGAAGAATTTTTTAAGAGTCTCTGACTGCTGTTGATATTCTTACAAGTCTTTCAAAAGATCAAACTCATTCTCACCTTTGACGTATGTACATGTATTCACATATAACACAGTAAACAAGCGTACAACATTGTTAGATCCTGTGCTTGCATCATTGTACACTGATGGCAGAATGTATAAGGTAATTAATACTTATAATAACACAGTACAACTCTTGATTAATTTGTAATTTAAATTTATTTAATTCTTTAGTTAAATAACCATATAAGTATCCAATATGTTGATTGTTCAGTTCATATAGTTACATGTGTGGTAAAGAAGAAATGATAGACTAGTGATCAGAAGTTCTAGTAGTAAATGTCAGCTAAACCAAAGTTGATAAGCTTTAAATTCTGGGTTCCAGACTTGGCACTAAATAACACATGCGATCTTTATCGTTGGATCATTAGCAAAGGGTTTTATATATAATTTTTAAACTACAGACAGAAGAGCCATATGTATATAAATAAAGTGTCTGTTGGTTTGTCAAGCCAGTGCAAGTGTGTTTGTAAATGTAAACAATTTTCAAAATGCCTTTTTGTCAGAATAGTGCTTGAATATGTTTTCTTTAATACAGTTGAACTTCAGTATCTTGAACACTGATATCTCAAATACCATGGATATCTCAAAGTGATTTGGAGGTCCCAACCACTTATTCTTTATGTATTTCACCCTCAATATCTCAAATCTTTGGATATCTCGAATTTTTTCTCAGTCCCATCGAGTTCGAGATTATGAGGTTTGACTGTATTACATAATTCTGTGCATCATTTCAATTAATCATTGAACAGTGATGGATCTGTATTTATTACCGGTAATAGAATAATCAACTTCATTATATCAGAAGGCTTTTCCTGTTTTGTAGACGTTTTGATTCAATTTTAAATAATTATACATAATTGGTACATCAAGTCATTTTATTCCTTAGACCACATCAGTGGGAGAATGTACGTTCCTGTTTGTTGATTTTTAGCTCTACTGGTCAGAGACCAGAAGAGCTTATGCGATAGTAAGGTGTCCATCGTCCGTCCGTCCGTCTGTCTGTCTGTAAACAATTTTTCAAAATGCTACTCCTCCCACAGTTTTGGTTTGATTTCAGTATAACTTGGCACACAAGTAGACTACACTAAGATACATAATTCTATGTATCGGTTTTTGATTTCGATGAACGGTGTTGCCATGGTTACTAAAAATAGAAATTTCTGTGAAAAACATTCAAAATGCTACTCCTCCTACAGTTTTGGTCTGATTTCAATATAACTTGGCACACAAGTAGACTATAATAAGATACATAATTTTGTATATCGGTTTTTGATTTCGATGAACGGTGTTGCCATGGTTACTAAAAATAGAAATTTCTGTGAAAAACATTCAAAATGCTACTCCTCCTACAGTTTTGGTCTGATTTCAATATAACTTGGCACACAAGTAGACTATACTAAGATACATAATTCGGTTTTTGATTTCGATGAATGGTGTTGCCATGGTTACTAAAAATAGAAATTTCTGTGAAATACTTTCAAAATGCTACTCCTCCTACAGTTTTGATCTGATTTCAATATAACTTGGCACACAAGTAGACTATACTAAGATGCATAATTCTGTGTATCGGTTTTTGATTTCAATGAACGATGTTGCCATGGTTACTAAAAATAGAAATTTCTGTGAAATACATTCAAAATGCTACTCCTCCTACAGTTTTGATCTGATTTCAATATAACTTGGCACACAAGTAGACTATAATAAGACACATAATTCTGTGTATCAGTTTTTGATTTCTATGAACGGTGTTGCCAAGGTTACTAAAAATAGAAATTTCTGTGAAATACTTTCAAAATGCTACTCCTCCTACAGTTTTGATCTGATTTCAATATAACTTGGCAAACAAGTAGACTACACTAAGATACATAATTCTTTGTATTGATTTTCTGATTTCTATGAGCATTGTTGCCATGGTTACTAAAAATAGAAATTTTCTTGAAATACTTTCGAAACGCTACTCCTCCTACACTTTTTGTCTGATTTCAGTATAACTTGGCATACAAGTAGACTACAGAGATACATAATTGGTGTTATTGTTTTTTGATTTTGTTGAATGATGTTGCCATGGTTACTTAAATCAAAATTTCTGTAAAATTGTTTTAAAAGGCTACTCCTCCTACAGTTTTAGTCTGATATAATAATAAATCTTGCCACAAAAGAGACTAAACCAAGGATCATTATTCTGTTTATTGCTGTTGCAAAGTTTCAAGTCCAAGTGCTACTTTTATCTTCCTTTATAAATACAACCAGTAGAGCTACAGTCTCGTCAGAGACTTCTGGTTCAATTTTGTGGAACCTAACTGATGAAGAGTTCATACATTTGTTATTGTGTTATAATTTATTTACAAAGAAAAGGGTCATTCACAGTAAACTGATGTATTTGTGAGCATTTTAGTTGTGTGTGTTAATAAATTTGCATTTGTTGATTTTTTAAAAAATTTTCTATGTTACCTTTTTTTATTAACAGAGATGTAGGCATATAATTTGACAGTGCATTTGACCTGATAAATTAAAGGGTATAATTTATGTATAACCATACACAATCTCTATCTATATATGTAGACAACTTTATAATTTTTTCAGTCAGACTGCTCTGCATGCTTCCGTAGGTCATAATGACATCATTCATATGGTATAAGGAGAACCTGTTTATTTGAGATGTGACATAAGGAAATTTTATTTAATTTTATATGCACTGTATGCGGTTTTCTTCTTTCAGTCAAGGATCTCTAGAAGAGGTAGAGACTTTAGCCAAACTGATTTCGAGCAGGATACGGCATGCTCCAAAACTTGGCATTGTCTGTGGATCAGGTCTAGGAGGGCTTGCTGATGTTGTGGAGGATAAACAGATCATTAAATACTCGGAGTTAGAGGGGCTCCCCGTTAGTACAGGTAAGTCATGTTCTTCACAGGTAGATAGGTCATATAGTCCAGACTTCAGGTGAATTACATTAAAAAGTACTGCATTACATTACTTCTAGAATTGGGGCATTAAATTACCATTACACTACTTTTTTACAGTACTAAGTTACATTACCATTAGCAAAATAATTCATAGCTGTAGATCTGTAGCTTGCTGGTCTGAAAAAATTTGGATGGACTACCAGAGAGCTACAGTGACACCCAAAGGAAAAACTGTACATTTATTGCACACAAAAAGTTGTGCTAGGTTCTGGATTAATTTCTCTAAATTCCTCCAACTGCACAAAAGCTCAATTTTAAAAAAATCCTTTGACCTCTATCAACTCTCATAGTTGACATCTGTACAAAGTGCACCCAAAATCGCAGTTTAAATAGGCGAAATTTTCGATGGCCTCGGTTTCAGATCCAGGAGAGATATTAACAACAGTTTTGGGGAATGCTTTGTTGTGGAAGTAGTTAAAAAATATGTTAGGAACACACGGTTAGTAATATTTTGAGATGGCAGTTTTAAAAAAAATGGAGAAATAAATCGAGAAACACTGCACTTTTTTGTGTGCAATAAATACACTTTTTTCAATGGCTATCCGGTCTGTCAATATATTTTAATTTTTTTCGGAGAGCTACAGTTCTGCAGCTAAGTAATGCATAAATTTCCATTACTTTTGGGGTGTTTAAAAAGAAATAAAAAAAATTGTGAAGCTATTTAAATGTGTAGTAATTGTAATTATACCCCCCGCAAATGAAGTTTAGGGGGGTATATTGGAATCAGTATGTCCGTCTGTCTGTCTGTTCGTCTGTCTATAGACGAGATTTTGTCCGGACCATTTCTTGGAAACTGTTGCAAGGATTTGTCTGAAAAATTTTACACTTATTATATGCCATATGAAGGTGTGCACCTGGTATTTTCATCATGATTGGATAATATTTTTGCATTTTACAGGTGTTTTTTTTTTAATTTTTATTATGTGGTTTTGTCTGGATCTGTTCCCGGAGACTTGTAGATAGATTTGTATGAAAATTTGTGCACTTATTATTTACCATATTAAGATGTGCACCTGGTATTTTCAACATTATTTGATAATTTTTCTGCATTTTACAGGTGTTTTTTTTTTTTTTTTCATTTTTATTGACTTAGTCATTTCGGGTTCATGTCTAAGGTTTGAGACATAGAATCTAGAACATCTGTTACAGTACAAAAATGTGAACTACAGCTTAAAACTACTCATTAGAACTAAAAAAAAATCACAAAGTATTAAAAACAGTTTTTATATTACACAGCAGATAGTGTAAATCCATTTGTCCCTTGGGAGTAATGAGTGGTCATGCATCCAGTTAAAGATTAATTAATGAGTTCAGTGTGGGAAGCTGTTAGGGCATCTCTGATCAAGCAGATCTTATCTCTATCTCCTGGGAATTGGGCAGAAAGAAATAAAAATATCTGTTGTCTAAGTCTCTTAATCATGTTAATTTTAATTTATGTCTGTCAAAATACATAGTTACTGGAACCAGCCTTTTATCTTTAAAATGAGTTTGATATAAAGGTATTAAGATCAATTTGATTTTGTATAATTAATTATGATTTTTTTTTCAACAATCAATTTGCAGAGTGTCATGTCTCACAGTTCAGTTCTTTTATTCCTTGTATCAACAGATACATCAGATAAACATAATTACATACATATAATTACATATAGTATATACATAATATATCACAAAGATGACAGATAGTTGCAAACTATTTTTTCAATGTAATAAAAAACACTGTAATTATTAGTATTAATGTTTTATTAGGCTGCACCTTAGTTTCATTCATTAAAAAAAATTTAATGAGTACTGTAATTAAATTTTCACTCTAAATGTTTAAGCAAGTTGTGAGTACCTCTCACATCTAGAAAACATTAGTGATTTGGTACCTTCTCTGAAAAACCCAGCGGGGGGTATTTGTCCCTTTTGGACAGTTCTAGTTTAGACAGAATACAATAAAAGTTAAACTGTATTTAAATATAAAGAATGTTTATTTCATTTTTGATATATAAAAATTCTAATGAAAACAAGATTTCCGTGTCCATTTTTAAAGCGACACCGTGACGCACAAACGGGAAAATTGACAAGCATAGAATTTTTGCATGACCCATGCAAATTTTGTTCAATTCCTGAAAGTATTAGGTTTCAGAAAATTAAATTATGCATAACTATTGCATTTAACATTACCCCAAGCTTGGTATATACAGGTAGATAGAGTTTTTTTAAAACCCATTCCCAATGCTAAAAAGCAGGTTTCCTAATTTTTGTTTTAAAATTCCCAAAGTGAAACAATGACAAAAAATGCAAAGCGGGGTAGCATTATTTTTATAAATCTCAAAAAGATGTCCCCCAGATTCCAATTTTTACATCAAAATTTTTAAGTGAACAAAATTTTTTTTGGTTATCTTAATGAGGTAAGCCCTGACTAAATTGAAAGTAGGAGTCCAATTAAACTGTAAGGCACTGTTTTGGAATTTTGTCCTACTTTTCTTGTATGAAGTGTTTTTTCACAACTTCAAGCAAATGTTTCTATCTTTTCCCAAATGGAAAGGCCCAGGCCATTGATATCAAGATCCCCTCCCCCCCCCCCCCCCCAAAAAAAAAAACAAAAACAAAAAAACCTTGGTAACAGTGAAACTTGTATAATCCAGATGTTGGTATTCTGAAAACTTGCCTATTACAATGTAAACTTTAAGTTCCTGTTAGTAAATTAATGTTGTCTAATCTAAAATGTTTATTAATCTGAAATGTTATCTAATCCTGCAAACTATGGAACCAGTGGTGTCCAGAACGGACAAGTTTTTCTATGTTTCAGTATGTGACTGTTTTAATTAATTCGTTGCTTGATTACAGTACCTGGGCATGTTGGACAGTTTGTGTTTGGGCTGCTGGATAAGGTACCAGTCATGTTGATGCAGGGGCGGGTCCATGTCTATGAGGGTTACCCTCTTCATCGTGTGAGTGTATATACTGATAAACACTCTTGAAAAAATTTAGGTCTTTCTTATTCCAGATGTTATCAAAGCCTTGAGTAAAGCATTTGATGAATTGATAAAACACGTATTTCAGATTGTTTTGCCCATTAGGGTAATGTGGAAACTTGGAATTAAGAACCTGATTTTAACAAATGCAGCAGGAGGAATCAACCCAGAGTATAAAGTAGGGGACATCATGATTATGAAGGACCACCTCAACCTTCCAGGTTTCTGTGGTATAAATCCTCTCATAGGCATCAACGATGATAGGTGAGAACATTAAAATTAAACCAAAACTAGAGTGGTGAAGTCACCTTAAACTAGGCTTATAACATAGATTAAACATGAAATTAAACCACACTACAGGTGAAATAACTTTAAACCAGACATGTAATATAGATCAGCAGTGAAATTATCTTAAACCAGATACATACCTTAGAACAAACATGAAATTTAACCACACTACAGCGGTGAAATCACCTTAAAGCAGACACTTTACATAGATCAACATGAAATTAAACCACACTACAGCAGTGAAATCACCTTAAACCAGGCACTTTACATAGATCAAACATGAAATTAAACAACACAATGGGTGAAACCTCCTTAAAAAAGACACATTTTTTTTTTTAGGTCCAAGATTTTTTTCTTTGTATTATTCAAGTTTGTTCAAGTGATGGCACCTTTTGTCGGTATTGGGCCACAGTATGAGAACGGGGATTATATATTTACTACAATTCATTAAGAACAACAAGACTATAATTCGTAAAATTGATTTTAGGCATGAATAATGAACCATAAATGGAAGTTGCTGAAACCAGTTTGAGTATCTATTGTGTAAGCTTACAGCATTATCATTTTTAGTCACAGAAGTGAGCTATTGCTACTAAAATTCTAAAATTTATGGAAATGGTTCAGAACCATGGGTCTCTGTTTAAAGAAGTGGGTACATGTATTTGATATGCCAGATGGAGAATTTACAATTTGCTTTTTAGCTCACCTGAGATGTAAGCTTCAAGTGAAATTTACAATTATTCTTGATCTGCATTGTACCAGTTAATTGTTGAAAAGCCACGTACTTAATATGATTTTTTCTTTGCACTTATAAAGTTGTTGGTGTTTTTCAGAATTGGTCCAAGATTTCCACCAATGTCTGATGCATACAACAAAGAATATAGAGCAATTGCAAAGCAAACAGCCAAAGAGCTTGGGTTTTCTGACTTTATACGAGAGGGAGTCTATAGCTTCTTGACTGGACCAACCTTTGAGACGGTCACAGAATGCCGACTATTACGCTTGATTGGAACTGATGCTACAGGTGTGTGTGGATACTCATCAGAAATATATCTAACTTACCTGTAGTAATCAGGGCTTTTAAGTCATTCTAACATATGACATTATTTAGAAATTATTTTCCATTTGTCCCTTTTTACTGAACTGCTAAAGGGATATTCATATTAACTTTGCACTGGAGATTTACTGACCAATATTTATCGTGTTCTGTAGGAATGAGCACAGTACCTGAAGCCATTGTGGCCCGACATTGTGGAATGGAAGTCCTAGCCATGTCTCTTATTACAAACTCCTGTGTGATGGAATTCGACTCTGATCAGACGGCCAACCATGAAGAGGTGCTGGAAACAGGAAAGTCGAGATCCAGTGACATGCAGAAGCTCATCACAAAAATTGTAGAGAAGTTAGCAGTATAAATCATTTCTCTGTCCTTGTGACATCATGGCATAATTCCACAGCTAACTTTCTCAATAGTGATAGGTAGTTTGTTGAATTCAGATCTGAACAAAATTTGGTATAATGATTTTAACAGGTATTTTATCCAGTTGACAAGAATTCATTAAATGGGTTGCTTATCTCTGGTATGTTGATTGTTAAATGGATCATAATACATGTATACTTGTTGATCTCTGCAAAAGTTATTTTAGTAATTGAGAGTTGATCAGTTGTTTTTGGATTGTTTTTGTAAACAATTTTTATGTATAAATAACTCGCATTTAGATACCTGTATCAGTATTTTTCAGGCAGATTCCTCCAGTGTAACAACATGATCTCTGGAGATGTGTATTAACTTACTAACATTTTTATTTTAGGGGGAGGGTCTAAAAATAGGTCAATAATGATCATATTATACAAGAGAGAGACATACGCAGAAAGAAAAATTATAGTGATACTAATCCCAGAATTCTTTAGAGCAAATGTCACTAAAGTAGCCAGCCAAATATAATCCAAGTGTTTTTTTTTGTAAAGTGTAGAGATTTCACTCAAGCTCATTTTTCAATTAAATAAAATAACTGATTCATTATGACATCAAGGCTGCCATGGTTTGGTTAAGAACCACTTCTGAATCGGGCATATTTTATCGTTAGCTTTTAAAGACTTAATTTGTAATTGCTGTAAATGAGGAAATAATTTCAAAGCATTTGGCTTGAATTAGCATGATAATTATTTTGAGTATGTATCATAAAATTAATTTGAGTATGAATCATAAAATTAATTTCAAAGAAGATGAAAAAACATTGTTACAACAAAAGTAAGAAAAATGTTTCATCAGGGACGTATGTACTGAACAGGATAGGGAACTTCTTCAATGCCGTATTGATTTCCCTAGAACACCATACAAAGCCTTGCAAATTTTTTAAACTATGCTTATACCCAGTAAAAAAAAAAATGGTTTTCAATAAATGTACTTGTTCTTCTTGTTAATGGGAATAGACTTTAAATAGATTGTAAAGCATACATTGTAAAATAATTTTAAAAATAAGCAAAGCCAAACAACCACTTACATTCAGCAAAATCTCAGAAATACAGTCTAGCAGGGACATGTGTTGATTTTGAAAATACAACGTACGCAGGTATATACAGTGCAAATAACAAATTCTGCATAGTTTGTGATAGAATAAAAAAAGTTTTTTGTTCTGATATAGTTTATAATATTAGAGATACAGTCAAACCCTGTTATCTCAAACTTCACGGGACCAAGAAAATACTTCGAGATATCCGAAGATTTGAGATATCCAGGGTAAAATACTTAAAAAATAAGCGCTTGGGACTTCAACATCACTTCGACATATCCATGGTATTCGAGGTATCCTTGTTAGGGATACCGAAGTTAAACTGTATACTGAATTAAAATTGACATAACATATATGAAATCCTGTGACATGCGAGATATCATGAGACTTGCAGAAGTTGCCTATCCTGTTAGTATATATGTCTGTGATGTTATGAAAATGGGGATGATTTGCTGTAAAAATTGCAACATCACAGAATGAAATATTATTTTTAAGTTGGATTTCATATAATGCAAAAATTAGCTATGTTGAACAATCTTCCATTTCATTATTTTTGATTTTCAAAATGTATAGGCCATTGAAAGGCAACTGAGGCTTAAAGAATGCCTCTACTGACAAAATCGTGCAGAAAAAATTTAATGTGAATGTGTCAAGCACCTATTCTCATTTGGATCCATCATTAGTATTCAATTGATTTGCATTCCATTTCGTCCATCTGTTCTTTATACATGTTTATAAGGCAAAGCTTTAAAATTTAAACAAGGTTGTGTAACCATTTATACATTTAACCATTTTGAGGTGGTGTATTTTGGGATAATTTTTTTATTTTTATGTAGAGGTTTGGTGTACTATTTTTAATTTTCATATCTTTATTTATTTATCATAGTGCTGTATTGTAGTTCAAACTGAATATATAAAACAAAATAGTTATAGCACAGACCTTGGGACCAGTGAATTTCCTTCATTATATCTGTAATTTGGTATAAATAGTGATTTGGCAATATACCGTTACCTTCAAGTATGACTTGAGAAATGTTATGGGAAGTATTAAATACAAAAGCTACCTTTGATTACTGAAGCTTTCTAATGCATTGAAAATATAAATACCTTCTAAAAGTAATGCTTTAATATTTTAAATTTCAAGATTTTTAAAAAATTGCTAAAGAAGATGTAAATTTTGTTATTTTTAACCTCGACTGTACACAAAGTTAACTATATCTTTAATTTCGTTTCGTAAGAGTTAGTTATTTACAAGGAATTTTTAAGAATTTTGCCTGAGATAAAAAAAAATTTCTTTATCTGTAAATTCAATATAATTGTGTTCGTAGTAATTAAAACAAGTTTTACACATATTACAAATTAAAACTATCATAATGCTCTTTATGTTTGATACTGTAATGCAAGTATTTAAAAAAAAAAATTTACAAATGCTTTGATACTATGTAGGAAGTATTATTTTTCTATTCATTTGCAGCTATAATAATGTTCTATATTCCAGCAATCTGCCAGTAAAATGTTAGAAATATATTAAAAGAGATCTTTTCCAAAGAATTGCTCATTGTTGACATTCCCATATTTATTGAATGATCACTCATTAATTTATTGTACCGCTACGATGATGTACTTGCTTTAATATTTTAATCATTTGTTGTTTTGTTATACTTTATTAATAGAAACATCATATTAAAGATTTAATTTTATTTGTACCAGTAAGTCAGTCCAGTGATTAATAATAATTAACCCCCTTTACTACTGTATATACTCTCCAGTAAGTCAGATTTAGGGTAGGTATATTTTGGTCTTAAACTCTATGGCCGACTTATAAGCCAGTCCTAGAAAGATGAGCATTTTTCTGGAAGATGAAATTTGGTATTTATAAAATACCTCTAATGATTATCATTAATAAACTTTTGGACACAAAGGAAAGGTAGATCTAAGGTTACAGTATGCATGTAAAAGTATAACAGATTTTAATGATCTTATTTTTGTTTAAATTGTCAAAAATCAAATAATGATATCATACCCGAAACATACTTAAAACATAGGTAAGTAGAATAGAATATTAATCTGAAATTGGAACAAATTCTGGCAAAAAACCATACCAACTTACAAGTGGCCACTTACAAATTCCACTAAAATTACTGAAAAAATACAACCGACTTATTGGCAAACTGACTTGTGAGTATATACAGTAAACTGTTTTGTAACACAGATCAGTTATTTGTTTGAATTTAGAATGGATGAATGCTATTAACACATGCCAAATATGTGTGAAGCTGAAAATTGTGCAAGGCAATGTACATTTAACTGAGAAATATCAGTATTATTTTCCCTTTTATCATCATTAGTAGTAAATCTGCTGTTAATATGCATCATTACCAGGGATGCAGTAATTGTAAAGGGGTTGTAGACCAGAGCAGTGATACTTTACCATCAGGGAATAATATGATATACATATCTGTGCATGGTGTTCAGTACTTACTCACCTATAAATCTTATATATATTGTTATTCCATTGACCATCTATTCTTGATATAACAATACATCAAAACTGCAGATGGTGGTAATTTGAATACATATTCCAATATTTCAATACTTGTACGTATGCCTTGTCATTTTAAAATGCTCTGTAGTTAAAAATAAAATTTACAGTCAGATATATATTGAAAGGTACAATCTAGCATAATATTGTTCATAAAATGATAATTTAAAAATGACCTTGATTATGTCCATATACAATGTATCTACTGAATCTAAAATTGGATATTGCAGATAAACTTAAGATTATTTGAGTATATATATATATATATATATGTACAACTGTTTTTTCTAGAATCTCAAAAACTTTATCTAAGACCATAGAGTATTGATTTTATGTAGATTCTCTATAAAATACAAGTAGATAGATTACCATGTGGTCAATGTGCCTGCTTGTGTAGTCTGATAGGTATTTGTTCTTTATGTTAATCACCTTATTTTAGTGTCTGGTTTTCATTGTTTCAGAGTATTTTTCTAGATTTGTTAAGGGTGCATATACATGTACTGTAATTGTTACCATACATATATAATAAAGTGATTACTTTTCTAAAGTTTTGATTTATTATGTATTGCATAAAAGTAGAACAGATACTGTCAATTAAAGTGGAAACTCCCAAAATAAAGGCAAGACCAGAACTGCTTGATAATCAAAGGAAATGAGTATTTTACCAAGAATTCTATAATTAAAAGAAAAAAAATCAGAAATATTTAATTATAAATTTTTGCAGGGATTGATATACCCTTAAAAATTGTTATTATACGTGGATTTTCCTGAAAATACAACACTACATTTTTTTCTGTATAAACAGATATATTAAGGGGGGAATACATTTTCAATTCCTGGTAGTGGTTTATAGAGGTCATCTGAAAGTAGGGACAAGTCTTTCAGATACTAGTACACGTTTCTCAAATGGTGATTAATATGAAGGTAAGCAAGTCTGCCTGCTGATGGTCAAGGTGATTGATAAGACCTTTGTGCGCATTACCAATAGAAGAGGCTCTTCTTGTCCGACTTAAAAATATCGGCAGGAGGCTCCTCTCGATAAGAATTCAAAATACTAGTTTTATATGACCAGAACTTCGTCAATAATATAAACCGTCTGAATCATAATATTAGGTCACAGTAAATTTAGTTCTAAATTAAAATCCCCGGGCTGCATATTTTCAAAAAAAAAAAATCCAGTAAAAATAACAAATAAACACACACACACACCCTCACACACACACACACACACACAAAAGACTCATTTTTCCAGAAATGTCTGTTCAATTTTTAGGAATCCTTATCTGAAGGATCCAGACCACTTAGTATAAACTCCAAAGAACCTTCAGAAAATTTAAAACAACAATTTTTTTTTCAAAAGTTAGTAACATCAAAACATATGACTTTTCTACACTTTATAGAACCATTCCTCGAGATAAATTAAAATCTAGGCTTTTTTTTAATATCATAGTCTAGGCTTTTTTTTAATATCATAGAGAAAAGTCAATTGATTGTTATAAAATATGGAGATAACGAAAAGCTAGAAATCAAGCTCAGAAGTCCATTGAAACGGTACAAATCGGGAGCAGAGCAAACACAGACCTCTATAAAATATCAGAGGTGGGATCAGGTGCCGTGGAAGAGGAAGCATCCGCTGTCGATGATTAATATGAAGGTCAGCAAGTCTGCCTGTTGATGGTCAAGGTCAGACACCTTCACGGCCAGGAACACGTTAAGTTCCTAGACAGTACCGTTGTAAGAGACCTTTAAAGTTAAGCACTAAAACTGGTTCGTTGTCATGAGCATACAGGTGAGGTTATGATAAAATCCGTCCGGTGTCATGACTTGAGAAGACAGGCTGTGAGACGTTTTTCATTTTTCAAGTTAAATTATCTACAACAATGTCTGAAATTGCAATGGGAAACAGGGCTGACACCCTATTTGGTGCTGTATAATTTCAAGTAATTAAAGAAGAGTTTGCGTTGGCGACATTAACTCTCTTGAAATCACTTGTGGATTTGATTAGTTTTCCAACTGAGATGTTTTCTTTTTCGTAAATAGAATATAATATACACACCAATTGGTGCAGACAGTATCAGGACATGTTGTAAGCCTTTACAGAAAAATTGAGAACAAATTAAAACTGAAAATTTTGATTTATTTCAATTTTTGTCCGTTGTCATGACAAGATACGAAAATTCAGTCCGTTGTCATCGGTCCGTTGTCACTACTGTATTGTATGCATTACGATCTTATGTTGTTTTAGGTATCGTTAAGCTTGCCATTAACAAGAAGAGATATGGGTTACCCCATATCCAAGATATTCGACTTTTAATTTATTCGAATTTTCATTGTGCTCAGATGATTTCTGATAAAAAAAAAAACCCCAAGTATTTAGATACTCAAGAGATACTCAAACTGCTCAGATGATTTCTAATAAAAAAAAAAACCCAAGTATTTAGATACTCAAACTGTAGAAAGTCATAAAAGTGCCATAAATATCCTAAAATTACATAATATTTAGGCTACTGAGTTTCAGCATCTTTTGTTGAATAAAATATGTGTTACGGTGTAAAATACGACTTTTCGGACTAATTATAAATTACTTTGTAAATTAACTTTTCGGACTATGTGTAAATTGTTATAAAAACTTTTCGTATATTTCGGCAAATGTGATAAATTCTATAAATTCCGCACAGCTTTAATCCTACCTGAGGCAGTCTGACATGGACAGTTAATCTCCTAATTGACTTCTGTTTATATTTATTGACACTTAATCTTTCATCTACTTTTATTCTATTATATACATGCCGCTAAAATGTCACCATTCTCTCAATAATTGTTTGATACTTGATTTCTTTATACTTTTTGTTAATCCTATTATTTTACTCTTTCTTTGTTCAGTATGTATGTTTTGTTGTCAAAAATTATAGCAGTTGGAATCAGACCTTCGGTGCTGATACATTCCAAACTCATGTAAAAGTATATTCTATGCTGATTCTATATAAAAGTACTAAAACTATAACGCGTGTTGGCTTATTGGAGGTTTTATGAATCTGGGTTCAACAATAAGAGGAAAACTCACGGTTGGCCCAGAATCAGAAGTTGACGGACAAATTCATACCGTAAAACTTGGTCCTACCTGAGGCAGTCTGACATGGACAGTTAATCTCCTAATTGACTTCTGTTTATATTTATTGTCACTTAATCTTTCATCTTCTTTAATTCTATTATATACATATGCCGCTAAAATGTCACCAGTCGCTCAATAATTGTTGATACTTGATTTCTTTATACGTTCTTGTTAATCCCTTTATTTTGTCATATCTTTGTTCAATATGTATGTTTTGTTGTTAAAAATTATAGTCAGTTGGAATCAGACCTTCGGTGCTGATACATCCCAAACTCATGTAAAAGTATATTCATGCTGATTCTATATAAAAGTACTAAAACTATAACGCGTGTTGGCTTATTGGAGGTTTTATGAATCTGGGTTCAACAATAAGAGGTCAACTCACGGTTGGCCCAGAATTAAAATTTGACGGACAAATTCTTACCGTAAAATATGCATGTACATGTACTAGGAAACAAACTGCATGTACATATATAACGTTACATGCATGTAGTGACTTTATCACAAAGTTGCACATTCCTAAAAAATAGTTTTAATTTCACATAGAACATAAACTAAA